GTCACACACAGAGCAGGGCCCATGGGGGGGGGGGGTTGGGGTGCCGCACCCTGTGACACACCGAGCCGCAGGGCAGTCAGGAGATTGGGGGGCTCCCCCCTATCAGGCACAGAGGAGGGCTGATCAGGGGGTTGGGGTGCCTTCCCCTGTCACGAACAGAGCAGGGCAGATAGGGAGGTTGTGGCCCCGCCCCCTGTCACACACAGAGCCGCAGGGCAATCAGGGGATTGGGGAGCTCCCCCCTATCAGGCACAGAGGAGGGCTGATCAGGGGGTTGGGGTGCCTTCCCCTGTCACGAACAGAGCAGGGCGGATAGGGAGGTTGTGGCCCCGCCCCCTGTCACACACAGAGCCGCAGGGCAATCAGGGGATTGGGGAGCTCCCCCCTATCAGGCACAGAGGAGGGCTGATCAGGGGGTTGGGGTGCCTTCCCCTGTCACGAACAGAGTAGGGCGGATAGGGAGGTTGTGGCCCCGCCCCCTGTCACACACAGAGCTGCAGGGCGATCAGGGGGTTTGGGCGCTGCCCCCTGTCATGCTGATCCCGGTGCCGGGAGCCTCGCTGCTCCGCTGATCCCGGTGCTGGGAGGCATATTACCCTTTTACTATATAGGATAGAGGCCTGGTGCATGGGTGGGGGCTGGCTGGTTTGCCCTGAAGGGTGTCCTGGATCAGGGTGGGGGTCCCCACTGGGGTGCCTGGCCAGTCTGGGTGAGGGGCTGAGGGCTGTTTTCCGGCTGGCGAGTGACTAAAGCTTCCAACCGCTCCTTGTTTTCTTTTTTTTTTTTTTATTCTGGGCCAGCTTTAGCTCTGAGGCCTCGCTGCTGAAAACATGGATACAATGTTTCGGTCCGGCTGGGTTTCAGTCCGGCTGTTTTCTGGGGGTTTGTTTACCTTCTTATTTGCAACATAGTATATAGTTGCTTAGAGTTGCAACTGAGAGGCTGGCAAGTGAGGCGGGGAACGTTGGAGTCTGCAGCAAGCAAGCCTCCCTGCTCGCTTCAGTGCCTGGCTGCCGGCCGCCATCTTGGCTGACAGTTAATTTGCATATACTCACTGATTAGCCAATGAAAAGGGTAGCGGTCGTACGCCAATTACCATGTTTCTCTTTTATTAGTGTAGATTGCTTTCAGAGAGGAAGGGAGAGGGAGAGAGAGAGAGAAATGTCAAGGAAGAGAAACATTGATTGGCCTCCTGCTGCACGCCCCCTAACTGGGAATCTATCCCGCAACCTGGGCATGTGCCCTTGACCGGGATCAAACCTGGGACCCTTCAGTCCGCAGGCTGACACTCTGTCCACTGAGCCAAACCGGCCAGGTCTACAGTTGTTCTTATGGAAAATAATACAGTAGCCCAGCCTGCGTGGTTCCGTGGTCGAGCATCGATCTATGAACCAGGAGGTTAGATTCTCAGTCAGGACACAGGCCCAGGCTGCAGGCTCAATCCCCAGTGTGGGGTGTGTAGGAGGCAGCCGATCCATGAGTCTCTCTCATCATTGATGTTTCTCTCTCTCTCCCTCCCCCTTCCTCTCTGAAATCAATAAAAATATATTTTTAAAAAATAATACAATAACCCTGGCCAGGTAGTTCAGTTGGTTAGAACATAGTCCAATAGGCCAAGATTGTGGGTTCGACCCCTGGTGGGGCACATGCAAGAATCAACCAATGAGTGAATGAGTAAGTGGAGCAACACAAGGATGTCTCCCCCCGCTTCTTCTCTCTCTAAAGCCCATAAATAAGTACATGTTAAGTGATACAATAATTAATCAATAATAATACAAGAGTTTAATAAGCTCTTGGCTTGGCTGAGTGGATGGAGTGTCGGCCCGTGGACTAAAGGGTCACTGGTTCGATACTGGTCCAGGGCTTGTACCTCAGTTGCAGGCTCCATCCCCAACCCCCGTCAGGGCATGTGCGGGAGGCAACCAATCCATGTGTCTCTCATACATCAATGTTTCTCTCTCTCTGTCTCTCTCCAACCCCCACTGCCACACTCTCTCTGCCAAAAAAATCAATGGGAAAATATCCTCGGCTGAGGATTCACACACACACACACTCACACACTCACACACACACACACTCACACACACACACACATATACACACTCACACACTCACACACACACTCACACACACTCACACACACACACACTCACACACAC